TCTATATGTAATAATTTTTAACTTGGGCCCTCATTCATAATTATTTTCAAATTTGGGCCCCGATGTGTAATTTCCCCCTTATTAAACCTCAAAAATGCTGGTATTTTGCGGTATTGAGTCACATGATTATAGCCATTGCTACAATTACAGAATTAAACTAAACTGTTTATTATTGTTCTTATATTCCACGAAGAGATTTGTGCCAGTTTTGTAATGTAAAATAGTTTAATATTCTATTATACTTAATTGCATTGTTCTACAAAGAATAAAGCATGTTCAAACGCGTATGTACTAAGCCTCAAAGTGCTGCGTGATAATGCACAACAGTCTTGAGAATTTTTTTTTTTTGAAAAACGAGTTTATGGATAACAAAGAACAAAGCATTTAATATGCGTACTAAGTCTCAAAAATGCTGCGCGATAATGCATTCGGTCTTGAAAAAATGTAAAAGCTTCTTTTTTTTTCACATATACAAGTTTCATGCAATAATTAAATAAGATTGTTCACAAGATAAGTCATGCAGAAATTGGATTTCAATGAATTTATTTAAAATCAATTGAAGTACCTTTTAGACAGTGCGAAATCGCATTTTCTTAAAATTAAATTGCAAAATGGATGATTTCTTAAATATCTTTTGCCTTACAACCTTTTTATTTGTTTGTTATTTAATTAACGATTTGTCCAAAATTGAATCCGCTCAAGAAGTCTTCAATGAATATCCAACTGAAGAGGAATTTATTTATAAAATATATTATGATGAAGAGTCGAAAGCCACAGTAAATGAAACGAGTATCGCAGTAAATGAGCCGAATGACAACAATAATTTCCAAAATCATCAATCGGAAGTAGAAAACAGATTACTGAGTAATTTTTCATCAAAAGAAACAAATGATGATAAATGGAAAATATTAGAATTTATATTTGCTAACATGACTTGTGAAGAAAAATTTGACAAAAGGTTTAATATTACGTTTAGATATTAAAAGACTTATAGAAAAATTGGAAAAAATTGAGCCAAATATAGTCAATTCTTGGCTTCAAAACTTTATTGATAGTATTGACATTAATGAAAATGATAGCTTTTATAATACTAAATTAAGAATAAAGCAACTTGAATATATTATATATAATGAAACCTAATTACAAAGTGCACCTTGGGAGCTATAGTGTGCACTTAGAAAGGGTGTGTATTACTACTAGTATCCCGAGTCTTTCTGACAACAATTGTGTTAATTTATTATAGGTCCAGGCTGTAAAATCATATGCACGTGTAGAGGTTAATGGTGTACTCCAAGCATGGCTATAGTGAATACTTAAAGAGCGCATCACTTAGGGAGGTTTTACTATCTCAAATCAAACTCGGTACCTTTTTTCAAAAATGATTTTTTTGACGATTATAGACGTTTCTCAATAATGAAATTTCGAAACTTTTGAATATTGAAGTTAAAGCAAAAGTTTATTTTTTTTCGTGTTCAATTCACCGATGAGGTGCAATAAATCACGTGACCTAGAACAACTGAATATATTATGTAGTATAATAAAGTAAATTACTATTATGAAGATATACCCGCTTTGAGGATGTCTATTAAATCAGAAAATGAATTAAAAGAAAATATCAACAATGCATCCCAACAAAATGAAAATGCACTACTCATCGAAATTATAAATGAGGCAGATTTAGAGATAAAAGATTTTTAAATAAATTGGGTTCAATTAATCCATCTTTAGCCGACGAATGGTGCCAATTCTTTTATTTCTTTAACAATTGCATTGAAATTATTGAATCGAGTTTAATATATCTCGATAATATTATATTTTACGAATTACACTTCAATTCAATTCAAAAAAAAAAAAATTCATAGAATAGTTTAATATCGAATTAAATATAGAATAGGTGACACCTCCAGCAAGTTTCAAAGGATGAAGAATTAGCCGTACTCAAGTAATCGAGTAATGTGACGCAGTACAGCTTCATGTGACCAATCAGAATTGCGCAATCAAAATTGGACATATGAAGTGGTGCTGCTTCACATTTCGCGATTATGTGAATACGGCTAATTCTTCGTTCTTCGAAATTTCACCGTAGGATGTTACCTTCTATATTTAATTTTTTTTTTTTTAAAAAAAAAAATTACGTTAAAATTAGTCCTTGCAATATGTAATATAAAAAGATTTTTTTCATGAGTTTATTATAAAATTTACATGTTTTACATTTATCAAAAAAGTAAAAAGAACATGTATATAAATACTTATTTTTTTACTGAAAAAAGTATAATATAAAAAGTAATAGAACTAATAAACACCTAATTCTCAATTACAATAAACGAAACGAATTGTATAAAAAAATTTTGTTTACATTAGTGAAACGTTGCATTTCTCAAAAAGTACTTTAAAGTGTATAAATAAGTTACCTGGGCAATTGATCTATATTAGCCAATCAGATGAATTTCTGTCTATGAGACAAAACTATATAAATTAGCTGCCGAGCTATTGAATGTGATTTTTTAACCTTTAATTTACCGTTACAATTTACTAATAACACCAATTACTCATTCAAAAAACTTTATAGCAGCGCAAGAAATTTTCGAATCCGAACTTTATAATAACAATTCCGACATAGAAGTTTTGCAAGAAATTTTTGAATCTGAACTTCGTAAAAATAATTCCGACGTAGAAATTTTGCATGCAGTAGATAAACTTTGTTTAAAAAAATATAATATTAACACTAATAAATTCATATGTCACTGTATAAAGAGTACCAGTCATATATTCCAAATAATTTTAATTATTTGTTATCGTAATGGTATATGGGTCAAAAAAAATGAAAATAAAGCTTTTGTATTATGTAAAAACCTTATTGAAAATGGAGTGAATTTTGTTAGAAATCTTAGTAAAAATATAAATACGTTTTTAATAGCTTATATTGGTGAATTTTACGAATTTGGGATCAGTGTAGGAAAAGACACTAAGAAGACATTTGAATATTATCGAAAATCTGCAAAATTAAAAAATTCATATGGTTTAAATAAATTAGGGGATTGTTATAGAAAGGGTAGGTGTGTAAATAAAAATTTAGAGAAAGCTGTCGAATATTATAAAAAGTCTAAGAGTTTATGACATCCATTGGGACTATGTAATCTTGGATGTTGTTATTATTATGGTATTGGGATTGATAAAAATAAAGCTAAAGGTATTTATTTGATTAGTAAATCTACCTATATAGGAAATGTTCGTGGATTGTATAAAGATGGGTTATATTCAGATAACAAATTATATATTGAAAAAGCCACTGAAAAGGGTCATTCACACGCTTGTTGTGAAGTAGGTTATTATAATTTAAATGACAATATATTTGATAAATCTTTAGAATTTTTACATAAAGCTAGAGATCTAGGATGTAAAAGGTCACTTTTTTATCTTTCAGAATATTATAGATTAGTTTCACCAATAGATGAATATAAAAGTTGTATGTATTTAAAAGAATATACTAATAAAGTTAAACATCGCATTGGTTATTAAGCAAATAATGTTTCGTTCTCT